TCTGGGCCGTCCGGAAGTAGCCCAGGTTACGGTGGTCAGTGTAGATCTCGACTTTCTCCTCAGCACCTTCCACGAAGTGTCGCCATTCCTCAAGGGCTTGGACGATTGCAAGCATCTCCTTATCGTACACTTCGTAGTTGCGCTCTACATCCATGAAACTTTTGGACATGAATGCTACCAGGTGGAATTCTCCATCCGGTTGGAGTTGGGAAAGGACCGCGCTGGTTGCAAAGTTGGATGCATCGCACTCGAGCCTGAAGCGGCCGTGGTCAGTAGGGAAAGAGAGGATGGGGGCTGTGGTGACAGCTTCCTTGAGGGCGTGGAAGGCATCATCTTCATCCGGGCCCCAGTTCCAGGTTTGGGTCTTCCGGGTCAGCCTGTGAAGGGGGCGTGCCTTCTCAGAGAAGTCTCTGATGAACCGGTGATAGAAGTTTACGAATCCTAGGAAGGATTGTACCTCTTTCACCTTGGTTGGGGGGGGGCCAGTCGAGGACTCCCTGGATCTTCACCGGGTCCATTGTGATGTTACCCTCCGAGATAACGAGGCCCAGGTACTTGATCCGGGCCGGGTTCGCTCAAACTTGCACTTCTCTGGCTTAAGGAAGAGCCTCCTTCTCCTCAGCGTCTCTAGGACTTCTCGGACGACCCTTCGATGTTCCTCCAGGGTGGCTGTGAAGATCAGGATGTCGTCCATGTAACAGATGACAACCTCCCAGTCGATGAAATCCCTCAGGATGTCATTCATCATGGTCTGGAAGGTTGCCAGGGAGTTACACAGGCCGAAGAACATCACCATGGGCTCAAACAGCCCCCAGTTGGTCGCAAATGCCGCCTTCCACTCGTCTCCATCCTTGATCCGGACGTTGTTAAACCCCCAGCGTAGGTCTAAGGCTGAGAAGTATTTGGCGTTGCAGAGGCAGGCGAGGACGTCCAAGATGAGGGGGAGCGGGTACGAGTTCTTCACTGTGATCTTGTTCAGCTTCCTGTAGTCTTGGACCAGGTGTAGGGACCCGTCCTTCTTCTTGATGAAGAAGACTGGTGCTCCCATAGGGGATTTGGACGGCCGTATGCACCCATTCTGTAGGTTCTCGTGTAGGAACTTGTCCAACTCTTTCTGTTCCAGGCGCAAGAGTGGGAAGGTCTTCCCCCTGGGCAGTTTGGCATCCGGTACCAGGTCTATAGCATGGTCCCAGGGCTTCCGGGGGGGCAATTGGTCAAAGGCTTCTTTGGAGAACACGTCCCGGAAGTCCTGGTAGTGCTCTGGTACTAGCGTCTCAAACGACATGGGCTCAGCCTCCGGGTCACAGGCCTCCTGGGCCATCCGCTGCGAGGGGGTCGTGGTGGCTCTCAGGTCATGGCCCCAGCTTGGGGGGATGATACCAGCGTAGATCCCATCCCTGGGCTCCAGTACAGGGTCCTGATCATCTCGTACTCGCAGTTGTCTGCAGGAGGACAGGCAGCGGGACATGACGACTTTCTGTTGTACCCAGTCCACTTCTGGGTTGTGGTGCAGCAACCATGAGTGTCCTATGATGAGGGACTGTTGCCCGAGATTTGCAACCGCGAAGCGTGCCCGCTCTGTGTGTCGCCCGAAGGTCAAGAGGGCCTCTAGCTCCTCTGTTATAGCTCCATTTTCGTTTGGGGTTCCATCGACATTACGTGTCAGAGACGGGATTATTTGTCGGAGTTGGGCAGACTGTCAGAGTCGGAACACTGTGTCACAACCATGCATCCCAGCCTGTTAGCCGCCCGTCCCAATGCCGCCCGAGCCTATTCCTGCTGTGCGAGCGCGAGCACGAGCCCCGACCTCAGCCCTATCCTCCCTTAGGGCTCCCTGCTCACTCCCCCACTTGCCCCTAGGCTCCCCTACACTTGGCCGACTCCCCCACAGCCACACTGACCTCCCTGCCCCCGAGTCCGCCTCTGGCACCAACCTAGCGTGACTCCACGACATCGCCTACTCCGCTACGATACCATCGCCGCTATCGCAGCCCTACACCCCTTCGTTTATTTATCTGTTATTGTTTGTTTTGACCCTCAGTCATTGCCGGCCACTGTGCGGCCAACCCCGCTCCTTCTTCTTGTTTGCTTCCGGACCCTTCGGCCTCCGGCCCGGGTCCGCTTCCATTCATTTCTTCCTCCTATATATATCCTGTATGATACTTTATTGTACCTTAGCTCTAATATCGATTTGACCATGACCCCTAAGTCCTGACCCCAACAAGGCAACCCCAGTAAGTCTGAAATGAGGGCCAAGAGACAGCTAGGGGGCACAGCACTCCCTTTAGAGTTGCTGAGGCCAAATGCCCTACCCTCGGGCCTTGTCTGAGGCATCGCAGGCATCGCGGCCAATAGCGGCCCGCATCGGTGACCTTCGGTGCCGACCCCGGATCAGTGTCTAACACACTGTCAGGAGGCAGATGGAAGACGGATTGGGTTCTGTCTGAGTTGAGGTTGGAGGTGATGCAGAGGTCTGTTGGAGCACGCATGCAGATATGCGGGCGGAAATATGCGGCGTGTCTGGAAGCACTGTTCAAGGTTAGCAGAGTGGGATCGCGGCCTCAGCGACTCAGGTGGAGCGCTGTGCCCTGAGCTTGACGTTTGGGGGAGATCCCGTATTTACAGACTGACACTTACAGCAGACTTCAAACAAGACTTGCCGCCGGAGCGGACCTGTAGGAGGAGCGCAGACTCCACGAGCATGGACTCAGAAGGGGGAAGCCCCTTTTGCAGAAGGAGGGACTCAGAACAGACAGGGGGGGGTACTCTAGTTGATTTCAGACTGAGGTCCCTGAAAGTATTTACAAGGTATAAGTAGATAAGAGAAATCAAAAGAGGGACCGGTCGGTCCGGTGCGGAAATAAGCGGAAATGAGCGGGGACTTGTCAAACTAAACCAAGGACAAGGACCTGGGAAATGGGAGGCAAGGAATGAATGAAGTCAAAGCGGATCAAGTACCAATATTGACAGATTAAATGAATGAATAGGAAAGTGCAATAGCACACGGATCAAATGCCAATATTGGGGTGAACATAATAGGCACTTGGCAAGGAATGAATGTTATGTTGCTGAGTGACAAAAAGGGCCAGAGGACAAAAGCGGAGGTCAGCGTGCGGCGCCGATACAAGTCCGCAAATAAGCGGGGTCGGTGCGGTGCCGACACAAGTCCGTGAACAGAGGTTGATCTGTCAGCACTGTCACACAAGGACAGCATGAAGGCCAACAGAGGTACAGAGGGGAGTGGGAGTGTTGACCTGACCAGAGGTGTCAAGGGCAACCAGAAGTGGCCAGAGGGTGCAGAGATGGGCAGAGGGCACAGAGTGGGCAGAGGGTGCGGAATGCACAGAAGCGGGGCATGGCTGTGACCACATAGTGGGAAGCAATGAGTGTGGTTCAGATGGAGACAAGGCTGGCATAGGAACTGGAGGGACTGAATGCCGGGAGCGCCAAGGGCTCGGGAACTGGAGGTAAGGTCGGAATGCCGGCAGGGTCTAGGTTCTGATTGTTGGCCAAGTCTCATGCAATAAGGCAGGGGGCCAGACATCAGGTTGGGGGCTGGTTAGGATGGGTTTTGGGTCGGCGGATTCGCCTATCGGCATTGGTTCACCGCTGACGGAGTCCCGGGATTTGTCAGTCATGACATTATGGACGGGAATGGGCTGGGGGAGGGGGGTTGTCTCTAGGTTGTGCTTCCGGATGAACTCGGGGCTTACGAAGTTCCCAGTGGCTCCTGAGTCCAGGAGGGCTGATACAGATACTGACATGAGGGAGGTCAGGGTGGTCAGTTTCACTGTGAGGCTAAGGGATCTGGGAGACTGCTTGGAAAGGACGTAAATGGCTGGGGGGGAGACCGCTACCTTGGGCGTTACTGCCCTTGGGGTCTTCTTGTTCTCATGGGTGGAGGATGCGTTTCTCCTCTTTTTCTTTGCAATGACTCGGTGAAACTTTGGCATTGGCGTTGGCTTATGCGCGCTGCGGTATTTACACGAGCTATCTTCTACAGGCGGCCAGGACGCATCCCTTACCGGTCACCTGCCTGAAAATCCCTCTGAGGTTCTACCTCTGGTTCCCCCTCCACCGTCTCTGTCCCTTCGGTCAACTGTCTCTTCAGCCCTTCCATCAGTGTTCTCAGGTCTTCCAGGTGGAGACGTCGTACTCGGCTGACCCTGGGGTGTGGGCATTCTCGCACAAGATGACCTGGGGTGTTACAATTGTAGCACCGCCTCTGGTCAGTCCTCGACCTGTCGAGATCCATCGGCTGGGGGCCCGTCCCTGGCGTAGGATGGGCTGCTGGAGTGGGGGGCAGAGGTGCGGGTCGCACCTGGGATGGGGTCGTGGTCAGTGGAGGTTGAGCTGGTGGAAATGGGGGTCTGGGTGGGGGTGTGCATGGTTGGGTGGCTTGGAAACGTCACCACTGGTTGTCCAGAAGTGTGGCTTCGCGCTTCCACTCAGTCCAAGTGGTGGGCATGGGGCAGAGGCGGTATATACTCTCCCTGAGCCGGGAGTTAATCGCTTGCTCGAACCGGTCAACCAGTCCGACATCGCCTAGCCTCGAGGCGGGTCCCAATATCTCGAACTCCTGGATGACCTTATCCACGGAGTCAGTCCCTTGGCAGATGACTGCCAACTTCTGCCGAGCTGTGGCCTCCCGGTTTGGGTCCTGGAACATGGCATCAAGTTCTGTGTTGAACTCGTCCATGGTTATGGTGGGGGAGCCAGCTGTCAACAGGGTGATCATCCGTTGTGTCGCCCACGCCCCTGCGGGTCCTCCCTTCATGGATGGATGGATGGATGGATGGATGGATTCATTTTAGAGTACGTAACCGTGCCTATCGGCATATGCCGTACTATAGTGACTCGGGTGAAAAAAGTTTGGAGAACATAAGGATGTGAAGAAAGGAATTTGTTTGACCTAGGAAGTATGAGACATCGAGTAATCAATGGTGTGAAGGAGAATAAAGTGAGATGAAGCAATAACACATAAAGGGGCATGCGACCCCTGCACTGAGGTTGAACAACGGGTGAGGGAGAATGGAGGTGGAAAGAGGTTGGATAGAGAAAAGGACACGCGACCCCCAGTGTTGGGGTCGCATGTTTTGCTGCTGTGTGCCTATGGTTAAGTCAATGTTTGAGTGCGCGGTTCTTGCGGGTGGGTGAGTTGGAGGGTGCTTTCACGGGTTTATGTCACGGTAGGCTGGTGAATGTTCCAGTGGCAGCGAAAGGCGATGGGTGTTGGTGGCATCTTGCTCATGCTTGTTGAATAAAGGCATGTGGCAGATAGGCCTTTGGTAGAAGGGGTAGTGGAGAGAAATGAAAGTGTTGGGGTGACGGCAGGACTTGAACCTGCATTCCTTGCAGTCAACTTTTTGTCGGCATATGGGGCTATCGTTGGCGCTACCACTATCGCGCCTCGTCACGAAGAGGTAGTGGAGAGAAAGATGAATCGGAAGGGTGTTGGGGTGATGGCAGGACTTGAACCTGCACTCCTCCGGCCTGCCCATGGACTTATGGAGGCTACCATTGGCGCTACCACTATTGCACCTCACCATCCCAAAAGGTAGTGGAGAAGAGAAAAAGAAGGAAGGGTTGGGGTGACGGTGGGACTTGAACCCACAGTCCTCTGGCCAGTCCCGTCTGGGCTTACGGAGGTCACCATTGGCGTTGCCACTATCGCGCTCGTCATCCCAAAAAGGTAGTGGTGAGAAGAAAAAGGAAGGGTTGGCTTGACGGCGGGACATGCACCCGCGCTCTTGCATCTCTCCAGCCAGTGCGGCTCTGGGCTTACGGGGTTGCGGTTGATTGGCATTACCACGGTGGCCACGTCATCCTCCCTTCAGATGTTAGAGGCCTAATTAGTTTTAAACAGGGGCACCGCGTGAAGGTTTAGGCCCGTGCCGGGTGTTTGCTGTGGTAGCAGAACTCCCCCTCGACTGACATCCATCGTCGAGGCCCGTCCTCCCTTCATGTAGGAGAGGACGAAGAGGATCTGGGATAGTTCGGTAGGGAACTCGGCTGCACGGACATGGAAGTAGATCCTGCACTCGGCTTTGAAACGGTCGAGGTCTTCACTGGCTCCCAAGAAGGGAGAGGGGGCAGCGATCTTTGGTGGTTTGGGCCTAGGTGCGAGTGTGGGTACAGGCATGGGTGCAGGCATGGGTGCAGGCATGGGTGTGGGTGCGGGTGCAGGTGGGGGGTGGTTGCGGGTTTGGCTCTCCACAATGGCTTGGAGCTCCTGGAAGCAGGCCAGCAGGTCGTCATACTGTTCTTCTGACACCATGGCTGGGGAGGCGGGGGAGGCGGGGGAGATAAGGTTAAAACCTTCTTCTGCTGTCAGGGACGCATCCGGGGTTGAGAGGGCCCGGGGGTAATGTGTCAGGGCACACCCGCCTGACCCAGGTCCACCCGGACCCACCCAGCCACACCACACCCGCTCCTCGCAGTCCAACCCTCTCCCTCCTCCTTCCTCCCTCTCCTCCCCTTTCCTTTCTCTCTTTCTTCCCCTTCTTTATCTCATTCCTCTCATCTTCCCTTTCTTGTTTATTTCCTTCTATCTACACGGACCACCTTCCTTTGTATCAATGTACTATTGACCTGTCCGGCCCACACACCCCGGACGGCTTCCCGCTGTGCCCAGCACGCGTGCATGCAGTGGACGCTCTCGGGATCCCCCACGGGGATACCCGGATGCCTGCAGCTGTCTCCGAGGGTGACGTGGCACTCGTCATGTGACTCAAGCCGCATGTACATAAATGTACCTGAAGTGGGAACCGAAGAAGTAACCTTCTTCTCACATTCTCCACTTCAGTCTAAGTGGCCAGGGACTGCTGTCCCTTCCCGGACCTGCCAGTATGCATGCCCGGTTCGCACCCCGTGAGGGCCCTTCTGCCGGGGGATACATCCGGACCCCCTCTACCCCGGACACGTCCCTGACAGCAGAAGAAGGTTTCAACCTCATCTCCCCCGCCTCCCCCATCTCCCCTGCCTCCCCAGCCATGGTGTCAGAAGAGCAGTATGAAGAACTGCTGGCTCGCTTCCAAGAGCTCCAAGCCATTGTGGAGAGCCAAGCCCGCAACCACCCCCCACCCGCACCTGCACCAGCACCCGCCCCCGTGCCTACCCCCGCACCCGCACCTGCACCCAGACCCAAACCACCCAAGGTCGCCCCCCCCCACTCCCTTCTCAGGAGCTAGCGAGGACCTCGACCGTTTTAAGGCCGAGTGTGGGATTTACTTCCACGTTCGCACAGCTGAGTTCCCCACCGCCCTCTCCCAGATCCTGTTTGTGTTGTCTTACATGAAAGGAGGACCCGCAGGGGCATGGGCCACGCAACGCACAATCACCCTGCTGACAGCCGGCTCCCCCCCCCTCACCATGGACGAGTTCAACACAGAACTCGATGCCATGTTCCAGGACCCGAACCAGGAGGCCACAGCTAGACAGAAGCTGGCAGCCATCCGCCAGGGAAGCGACTCTGTGGATAAAGTGATCCAGGAGTTCGAGATATTGGGACCCGCCTCAAGGCTGGGTGACGTAGGACTAGTCGACCGCTTCGAGCAGGCGATCAACTCCCGCCTCCGGGAGAGCATATACCGGCTCCGCCCCATGCCCACTACTTGGGCCGAGTGGAAGTGCGAAGCCATGCTCCTGTCAGAGACCAGATTCGAGACGAAGGAATGTCTCCGTAACGGAGGGCTTCGGCCTCAGCGACTTCTGCCAAGAGCGCTGTGCCTAGTGACACGTCCGTGCCCTAACTTACTGACTGGCAATTAGAACCTAGGGGGGTAACTCTAGTTGATTTTTCTACTGGGGCGTAACCTATGTACAAGTGGGATATATATATGGTTACAGCGGAGACGGTTCCGCAATTGGCGGAGCCGAACGGAGCGGAGCTAACGGGGTTTAACATTAGCCGACTGAATATTACCGATGAGTCGGTTCGCGGGGTTAGCGGAAAGGCAGGCAATAACCCAGAAACGGAAAGGAGGGATAGGCCCGAAGGTGGGCTCTGCAGGGCAGGCAAGTGTATTGCCCAGCGGAGGCGGGGGTGCGCTAGCGGACGTCGGAGCTGTCCGGAAGTCTTCGGGGCTCCGTACTTAGGGAGGCATAGGTAATAAATTGAAATGAGGGGGTGGTGACCATCGAGGGGTGCCGAGAGGATTGCGGAATACGGGGGCTCCGAGGTTAGTGAGGGAGGAGCGGAGTTGGAATGGAGGGATCAGAGGGACCAGAAGTCGATGGCCGGGGATGGATATGACAGCTCCTGGACAACCAGTGGTGACGATTCCAGGCCACTCAACCATGCGTGTTCCCACCCAAACCCACGCTCCCGCCAACTCGACCCCTGTCAATCGTGACCCCACCTCAGGCACAACCCACGCCCGGGCCCCACGACTTGCACCACTGCCTCCACCCTCCACCCCGGCAGCTCGCCCCACGACAGGGACGGGCCCCCAACCGATGGACCTCGACCGCTTGAGGACTGACCAGAGACGGTGCTACAACTGTAACACCCAGGGGCACATCCTACGAGACTGCCTGCACCCCAGAGTCCGCCGGGCGCGACGTCTCCACCCTGAGGACCTTCGGGCATTGATGGAAGGGCTGAAGAGGCAGCTGACTGAAGAGCCAGAGACGGAAGGGACAGAGCCAGAGACAGAGGCTCAGGGGGATTTTCAGGAAGGTGACCGGTGAGGGATGCGTCCCGGGCGCCCGTAGAAGATAGCTCATGTAAATACCGCAGCACGCGTGAGTCAACACCAATGCCAAAACTTCACCGAGTTATTGCAAAGAAGAGGAGAAAAAACGCATCCTCAACCCGTGAGAGTAAGAGAACCATAGAGATGGCACCCGAAGTGGCAGTATCCCCGCCAGCCATCTATGTCCTCTCCAAGCAATCCCCCAGATCCCTCAACCTTACGGTGAAACTAACTGCCCTGACCTCCCTCGCATCAGTGTCAGTGTCCGCCCTCCTAGATTCAGGAGCCACCGGGAACTTTGTAAGCCCTGAGTTCGTCCGGAAGCACAAGCTCGAGACAACCCCTCTCCCCCAACCCATCCCCATCCGTAACATTGACGGAACCCCAAACGAGAATGGAGCCATAACCGAAGAGCTGGAAGCCCTCCTGACGTTCAGGCGGCACACAGAGCGCACCTGCTTCGCAGTTGCAAACCTAGGATGACAGTCCCTCATCATAGGGCACTCGTGGCTGCTACACCACAACCCAGAGGTAGACTGGGCACAACAGAAAGTCGTCATGTCCCGCTGCCCATCTGCCTGTAGACAGCCCCGAGCACGAGACGACCAGGACCCTGCACTAGAGCTGGGGGATGGGATCTACGCTGCAATCATCCCCCCTGGCTGGGGACACGACCTGAGGGCCACCACAACCCCCTCCCAGCGGATGGCCCAGGAGGCCTGTGACCCGGACGCAAAGCCCGCATCGTTCGAGACGCTGGTGCCAGAGCACTACCAGGACTTCCGGGACGTGTTCTCGAAAGAAGCCTTCGACCAGTTGCCCCCCCGGAAGCCCTGGGATCACGCTATAGATCTGGTACCAGACGCCAAACTGCCCAGAGGGAAGACCTTCCCCCTCTCGCGCCCGGAGCAGAAAGAGCTGGATGAGTTCCTGTGCGAGAACCTGCAGAACGGGTGGATACAACCGTCTAAGTCTCCGATGGGTGCACCAGTCTTCTTCGTCAAGAAGAAGGACGGATCACTGCACCTAGTACAGGACTACCAGAAGCTGAACAAGATCACCATAAAGAACTTGTACCCACTCCCACTCATCTCGGACGTCCTCGCCCACCTCCGGAACGCCAAATACTTCTCTGCCCTGGACTTGCGCTGGGGGTTTAACAACGTCCGGATCAAGGATGGGGACGAGTGGAAGGCAGCATTTGCGACCAACAGAGGGCTGTTCGAGCCTATGGTAATGTTCTTTGGGCTGTGTAACTCCCCCGCGACTTTCCAAACCATGATGAATGACATCCTTAGGGATTTCATTGACCAGGAAGTCGTTATCTGCTACATGGACGACATTCTCATCTTCACGGCCACCCTGGAGGAGCATCGGAAGGTCGTCCGAGAAGTCCTGGAGACGCTGCGAAAGAGGAGGCTCTTCCTGAAGCCAGAAAAATGCAAGTTTGAGTGGACCCGGATCGAGTACCTCGGCCTCGTCATCTCGGAGGGCAGCATTGCCATGGACCCTGTAAAGGTCCGTGGAGTCCTTGACTGGCCAACCCCAACCAAAGTGAAGGAAGTGCAGTCCTTCCTGGGGTTTGTGAACTTCTATCGCCGGTTCATCAAAGACTTCTCTGAGAAGGCATGCCCACTCCACAAGCTGACCCGAAAGGCCCAAACCTGGAACTGGGGCACGAACGAAGACGATGCCTTCTGTGCCCTCAAAGAAGCTGTCACCACTGCCCCAGTTCTCTCCTTCCCCTCTGACTCCGGCCGCTCCAAACTCGAATGCGATGCCTCCAATTTCGCAACCGGTGCGGTCCTCTCCCAGCTCCAACCCGACGGGGAGTTCCACCCGGTGGCATTCATGTCCAAGAGCTTCACGGACGTGGAACGTAACTACGAAGTGTATGACAAAGAGATGCTCACGATCATCCGAGCTCTTGAGGAATGGCGACACTTCCTAGAGGGTGCTGAAGAGAAGGTCAAGGTCTACACCGACCACCGCAACCTGGGGTACTTCCGGATGGCCCAGAGGCTAAATCGCCGCCAGGCCCGATGGTCCCTCTTCCTCTCCCGCTTCCACTTCACCCTTGTCCATTGTCCTGGGAAGCTCATGGGAAAACCCGATGCCCTCTCCCGTCGTGCTGACCACCCGAAAGGGAAAGACGACAACGAAGGGTTGACCCTCCTCCAACCAGCCTGGTTTGAGGCCCGCGCAACAGAGGCATTCTCGGTGGACTCTAGGAAGAGCCGCGCGATACCCTCCGAGTCTATGGTCGTCACAGTGGGGACCGCATGGATATGTTTGGACAGGCGGTCCACCACCACCAGGATGGCGTTATATCCCTTGGACTCTGGGAGCTCTCCCACCATATCCACTGAAATTACCTGCCAATGACGGGTAGGGACTTTGTTCGGGGTAAGCTTCCCAACCTTTCGTGAGGGGAAGGATTTGACACGGTTACAGGTGTCACACCCACATACGTATCGCCCAACATACTCCGCCATCCGGGGCCACCAGTAGTCGCGGGAGACAAGTTCCAGGGTTTTCCACCACCCTGGGTGCCCTGTCACCCGCGCGTCGTGGTGTAGCCTCACTAGGTCGTGGCAGAGTTGGGGGTCTTTTGGGACATATACCCTCCCCCGGTACAAGACCAATTTGCCTTGCCTTTCCCATTCATCTGACCTTAGCGTTCCCTCCCCTAGCTCTCGCATGGCTTTTACTACTCTCTCATCGTGGTCCTTTGCCCTGCGTATCCGATCTAAGATGCCTACCTCCTCACCTCACATCTGGAAGCATCACGGGCTCCCTGAGGAGATCCTCAGCGACAGAGGAAGTGCCTTCATCTCCCGCTTCTCGAGGGAGCTCGCAGACCTCCTAGGCGTAAAATTAACCCCCTCAACGCCCTACCACCCCCAGACGGACAGACAGACCGAGCGAGTCAACCAAGAGATCGAAGCCTACCTCCGGGTGTTCGTCAACCATCGACAGGACGACTGGGCAGATTGGCTCCCGCTAGCGGAATTTTCCTACAACAACCGCATCCACTCATCCACCCACCGAACCCCTTTCGAACTCAATACCGGCCAGCACCCCAGAATGGGGACGGAACCCACACGTACGTCCGAAGTGGAAGCTGCTGACGCGTTTTCGTCAAGGATGATGAAAATGCAGGAGGAGGCGAAGGCTGCACTGGAACACACAGCGGACGAGATGGCCCACTACTACGACCAAGACCGTGAGGCGGCCCCAGAATATCGAGAAGGTGACCAAGTCTGGCTCAGCGCCCAGAACTACACGACCGACCATCCAACCAAAAAGCTGGACCACAAATGGTTTGGCCCCTTCAAGATCGTCAAAGTCGTCTCCCCAGCCACCATCAAACTCCAACTCACCGCATGACAGAAGGGAGTTCACCCAGTCGTATCCGTAACGAACATCAGGCCACACCGCCCAGACGATATCGCAGAACGACCCACTGACCCCCGCCCAGGCCCGGAACTCGTAGATGGAGAAGAAGAGTACAAGGTCGAGAAGGTATTGGACTCCAAGTGGCTATGCCGGAAACTCTGGTATCTGGTAAAATTTGTTGGTTGGCCAAGCTCAGAGAACCAGTGGCTCCAGCGGGACCACTTAGCCCATGCCCCCGACCGGATCAAGGAATTCCACAGGACGCATCCCCTAGCCCCAGGGAGAGAGAGAGAGAACCACCTGACCACTTCGAGGCGAAGCGGCTTAAGGAGGGGGTGATGTCAGGGCACACCCACCTGACCCGGGTCCACCCGGACCCACCCAGCCACACCACACCCGCTCCCCGCTGTCCAACCCTCTCCCTCCTCCTTCCTCCCTCTCCTCCCCTTTCCTTTCTCTCTTTCTTCCCCTTCTTTATCTCATTCCTCTCATCTTCCCTTTCTTGTTTATTTCCTTCTATCTACACAGACCACCTTCCTTTGTATCAATGTACTATTGACCCGTCCGGCCCACACACCCCAGACGGCTTCCCGCTGTACCCAGCACATGCGCATGCAGCAGACGCTCTCAGGATCCCCCACAGGGATACCCAGATGCCTGCGGCTGTCTCCGAGGGTGACGTGGCACTCGTCATGTGACTCAAGCCGCATGTACATAAATGTACCTGAAGTGGGAACTGAAGAAGTAACCTTCTTCTCACATTCTCCACTTCAGGTAAGTAGTATAGTTTTCCCTTTTAATAACAATAACACATTCTCCACTTCAGTCTAAGTGGCCAGGGACTGCTGTCCCTTCCCGGACCTGCCAGTACGCACGCCCGGTTCGCACCCCGTGAGGGCCCTTCTGCCAGGCGATACATCCGGACCCCCTCTACCCCGGACACGTCCCTGACATAATGCCCGGCACTGAGGCCATCGTGGGGTGTGGAGCGGGCGTGTGTACTGACAGGCCCGATCCGGAACAATGGTCCCTGGCCACTCAGACTGAAGTGGGAACTGTGAGTTGTTATTAAAAGGGGAGGCTATGCTACTTACCTGAAGTGGGAACTGTGAGAAGAAGGTTACTTCTTCGGTTCCCACCCCAGGTACCTTTATGTACATGTGGCTTGGGTCACATGAGGTTTGCCACATCACCCCGCATACAGCCGCAGTCATCCGGGTGTCCCTGTGGGGGATCCCGAGGGCATGTGCAGCACACGCACGTGCTGGGTTGCACCGCAAGGCCGTCTGGGTCGCCCAGGGCTGGGTGTGTCGTGCGCGCATCACAGGCGGGTCAATAATACATAGGTATGGGGAAAGGTCATCCATGTAGATAAAGATAGAACAAAGAACAAAGGAATAAAAGAACAAAAGGATAGAAAGAAGAACAGGAGTTGAGGAACCGTGATGAAGGGTGGGGAGTAGAGGTGAGCGGGATACCAGGTCAGGGCAGGTGGAGCTGGGTCAGGCGGGTGTGCCCTGACAAGTAGTGCAGTACAGCACGGGGTGCAGCGTGGGGTCAGGTGGGTGTGCCCTGACACTACTGTAAGTGCAATTAGCAGCAGTCTATATACTGCCAGACTTATCAAGGGCACATGAAATATTGAGAATGAAGACTTTTCCAGATTCAGTTCCACAGGCTGCAAAAGGTCCATGGGAAACCAAAGTGGTTAGGGAAAGGGGTATAGCAAAAATATAAGCAGTGCCAATGCAAACCCATCGCCCTTCCATGTTGTTAAGTATGCCAAAAGCCTGAGGGGTCACCAAATGTGAATGGCCCTCAAGTGTCTTGAGGTGGTTCCCAGTGTGAGGGTCCCACAGCCTGATGGTATGATCACGTGACGCTGATGCCAGGAGTGATCCATCTGGGGAGAAGGCCACAGATGTTACCCAATGAGAATGGCCCTCAAGTGTCATGAGGTGGCTCCCAGTGTGAAGGTCCCACAGCCTAATGGTATGATCATCTGATGTTGATGCCAGGAGCAATCCATCTGAAGCGAAGGCCACAGATCTCACCCAATCAGAATGGCCCTCAAGTGTCTTGAGGTGGCTCCCAGTATGAGGGTCCCACAGCCTGATGGTACAATCATCTGATGCTGATGCCAGGAGCAATCCATCTGGAGAGAAGGCCACAGATCTCGCCCCATGAGAATGGCCCTCAAGTGTCTTGAGGTGGCTCCCAGTGTGAGGGTCCCACAGCCTGATGGTACGATCATCTGATGCTGATGCCAGGAGCAATCCATCTGGAGAGAAGGCCACAGATCTCACCAAATCAGAATGGCCCTCAAGTGTCTTGGGGTGGCTCCCATTGTGAGGGTCCCACAGCCTGATGGTACGATCATCTGATGCTGATGCCAGGAGCAATCCATCTGGAGAGAAGGCCACAGATCTCACCAAATCAGAATGGCCCTCAAGTGTCTTGAGGTGGCTCCCAGTGTGAGGGTCCCACAGCCCAATGGTATGATCATCTGATGCTGATGCCAGGAGCAATCCATCTAGAGAGAAGGCCACAGATCTCACCCAATGAGAATAGACATCAAGTGTCTTGAGGTGGCTCCCAGTGTGAGGGTCCCACAGCCTGATGGTACGTGTCAGGGGACGGACCCTGGGTCCCCATGACCCCTCTCTCTATAGCCCACAGCCCAACCCGTAACAGCCTAGTCTCAAGGCAAAGAGCTACTGTGGGTAAGAAAGTGATATAAACAAAGGGGCAAGTAGATACACTTGCCTACTGTGGGTAAGAAAGTGAGAAGAAGGTTAACTTCTCACTTTCCCACAGTGGCCCTAATATGGCGAAAACTTCCGGGAATACCCGGAAGTCACATGAGGTGGGATCCGGGGTCGGATCATGCGGCACACAGAGCGTGCGGCGCAGGAAGTGCGCGGGAAGTGGAGCGGGTCCGGACGCGGGTCCGGGTCCAGGCTAAGTCAGGGTATGTGCCCTGACATCACCCTCCCTCTAAGCCACTTCGCCCCGAAGTGGCCCTAGTCCCCAGGTAACCCATCCCTCAAGTGGTTAGAACAAAGCAAAACAAAAAATAAAGCGGGTGGGAGCGGGAGCGGGAGATGATGTGGTGGTGGAAATGTAAAACTATTCTAAGTTAAAAAGGCGGCGAAAAAATAAGAGTTAAGTTAAAAAAATTAAACTAGTCGTCCATCGCCGCATATGCGGCGCTCCCCTAAGACTTGCCTGAAAAAAATTTGGGTCCTTCAGCACCCTCCATCATCTGCTCGCGACTCGGCGACCTCCAGCCTGCATCCCTCATCATCTCATGATGCCCCAGCTGCAGTCGTGTCGTCCCCGTGATCGCATCTGGCCTTGGGGCTGCGCCCGCTTCGGGTATGGAGGGTGGTCATGCAGCACTTGACCTCTGGGCCATCGTCTGCGTGCCTGCACTCTGACCTCCGGGCTGCGCTCCTCTGGGTATGCGGGGTCGGGGGTGTGGTAGCGCCGAGGTAGCGGCAATAGTGGGAGAGTCCCAGGGGGTCCGGTAGGGTCTACACCCCGCTCCTCACCCTCCCTCTAATGCCACTTCGCCCCGAAGTGGCTAAACCTCAAAAACCCCCTCTCCCCCCTCCTCTGCACATGGTGGTCCGTTGCCTAGGACACTGGGCTCCTCTTCAGGGGTGGATGGGGAAAGTATGGAAAGGAAAAAAATTTTCGGGGTGGGTAGCGGGTATGCGGTAAAGATAGTCGGGCCCGAGACTGGGCCATGCGGGGTCGCGTGTGGAAAACAACTCTCCCCCAAGTGCATCTTGCACACTGGGGAGTCCGGGTGCGTGGACAGTGGGGCTACCTGATGTGGGCTGAGCACCACCCTCCCTCTGTGCTGCATTCCCAAGCGGTCACAGCAGGGGACCTTGGGCTCCTTCGTCAGCTCCTATCCTTCCTGTCAGGGCCCGGCCTTTGTCCGGGGGCGGCCCTACCTCAGAACTGGACACTTGCGGTGTCCCAGGCAGCCAGGTGCTGGATCTTACCCCAAGCTCCTCGAACTCAAGTTCGTAACGTGACTAAGGGTAGGAGCCGAGCATGTTCCCGCGATGTGGAAAAGGTGTCACGTGGGTTAAGGCGAGTTGCTCGCCTTGACCCACGTGATTTTTCCTGCGGGTTCGCGTGCGGGCTGTAGTTGCAAAAGGTGTGTGAAGATGGGAGGATCAGGGAAGTGGGGGGAGGTCAGGGAAGGTGGTTCTGGGGTTGTATGGTCAGGTGTGGTTGCCCTGACACTTCCCTTCTCATGTCCATCCTCCATTGAAATTCTAATGTCAAACTCTCTCCTGGGTGCCCGGCACTGCAGGGAGTCGGGTCTGTGAGCCATAGCGGGTCCGTGATGCGGCTGGGATACACAACCCTCCCTCTATGCCGCATGCCTAAGCGGCCATAGCAGGGATCCTGGGCACTCTCACCAGCGGCATCCATTCCCTCTCATGCTCATTCTCCGTCATGAATCCAAAAAATGCGCTTGCGTGTGCATGCGACTCTCAGTCGCAAGTGAAAGCGGGGGTGGGTGGTCTCATCCAGGTTATCTTGGGCATCTGCGGTTACGAGGCTGGCAGCGGGTGGGTGACCCCGTTTCCAGAGTGCTTTTCGGCCAGTTCGTTGGCAGCAGTCGGGCGGCTTTGTCTCCCTAGCGCATTCAGCGAGGTGTCCGGGTAGCGGTGGGATAATGTGGGGGACCGGGTGGGTAGTCTCTAGTGGGTCATCATTCTTGCATCTGCAGTTACGAGGCTGGCAGTGGGTAGGTGACCCCGTTTCCAGAGTGCCTTTCGGCCGGTACGTCGGCAGCAGTCGGGCGGCTATGTCTCCTTAGCGCGTTCAGCGAGGTGTCTGGGAAGCGGTGGGATGACCCTCAACTCAACCTCACAGATTGGAACACAATCTGTGGGACAGCGTTGCAAGGGGCTGGGATAGGGAATGGGAGTGTGGTTGTATCGCAGGTAATGAATGTGTAATGGTCTGGGGGAAGTGATGACGTGGCACGGCTGCCACTCGAAAATCGCGTGTTCGGCCCGTGCCCAGCTCCGACTCAGTCCGGGCTCTCATGGCCCATGCGGGACATCCTAGGTGGGCAGGGGCGAAGGTTGAAACCTTCTTCTGCTGTCAGGGGACGGACCCTGGGTCCCCATGACCCCTCTCTCTATAGCCCACAGCCCAACCCGTAACAGCCTAGTCTCAAGGCAAAGAGCTACTGTGGGTAAGAAAGTGATATAAACAAAGGGGCAAGTAGATACACTTGCCTACTGTGGGTAAGAAAGTGAGAAGAAGGTTAACTTCTCACTTTCCCACAGTGGCCCTAATATGGCGAAAACTTCCGGGAATACCCGGAAGTCACATGAGGTGGGATCCGGGGTCGGATCATGCGGCACACAGAGCGTGCGGCGCAGGAAGTGCGCAGGAAGTGGAGCGGGTCCGGACGCGGGTCCGGGTCCAGGCTAAGTCAGGGTATGTGCCCTGACAGTACGGTCATATGATGCTGATGCCAGGAGTGATCCATCTGGGGAGAAGGCCACAGATGTTACCCAATGAGAATGGCCCTCAAGTGTCATGAGGTGGCTCCCAGTGTGAGGGTCCCATAGCCTGATGGTATGATCATCTGATGCTGATGCCAGGAGTGATCCATCTGGAAAGGCCACAGATCTCACCCCATGAGAATGGCCCTCAAGTGTCATGAGGTGGTTCCCAGTGTGAGGGTCCCACAGCCTGATGGTACAATCATCTGATGCTGATGCCAGGAGCGATCCATCTGGAGAGAAGGCCACAGATGTCACCCAATGAGAATGGCCCTCAAGTGTCTTGAGGTGGCTCCCAGTGTGAGGGTCCCACAGCCTGATGGTACGATCATCTGATCCTGATGCCAGGAGCAATCCATCTGGAGAGAAGGCCACAGATCTCACCAAATCAGAATGGCCCTCAAATGTCTTGAGGTGGCTCTCAGTGTGAGGGTCCCAAAGTCTGATGGTACGATCATTTGATGCTGATGCCAGGAGCAATCCATCTGGAGAGAAGGCCACAGATCTCACCCAATCAGAATGGCCCTCAAGTGTCATGAGGTGGCTCTCAGTGTGAGGGTCCCACAGCCTGATGGTACGATCATCTGATGCTGATGCCAGGAGCAATCCATCTGGAGAGAAGGCCACAGATCTCACCAAATCAGAATGGCCCTCAAGCACCTTGGGGTGGCTCCCATTGTGAGGGTCCCACAGCTTGATGGTATGATCATCTGATGCTGATGCCAGGAGCGATCCATCTGGAAAGAAGGCCACAGATCTCACCAAATCAGAATGGCCCTCAAGTGTCTTGGGGTGGCTACCAGTGTGAGGGTCCCACAGCCTGATGGTGCAATCATCTGATGTTGATGCCAGGAGCGATCCATCTGGGGAGAAGGCCACAGATCTCACCCAATGAGAATGGCCCTCAAGTGTCTTGAGGTGGCTCCCAGTGTGAGGGTCCCACAGCCCAATGGTACAATCATCTGATACTGATGCCAGGAGCGATCCATCTGGAGAGAAGGCCACAGATCTCACCCAATGAGAATGGCCCTCAAGTGTCATGAGGTGGCTCCCAGTGTGAGGGTCCCATAGCCTGATGGTACGATCATCTGATGCTGATGCCAGGAGCAATCCATCTGGAGAGAAGACCACAGATCTCACCCAATGAGAATGGCCCTCAAGTGTCTTGAGGTGGGTCCCAGTGTGAGGGTCCCACAGCCTGATGGTACAATCATCTGATGCTGATGCCAGGAGCGATCCATCTGGAGAGAAGGCCACAGATCTCACCCATGAGAATGGCCCTCAAGTGTCTTGAGGTGGCTCCCAGTGTGAGGGTCCCACAGCCTGATGGTACAATCATCTGATGCTGATGCCAGGAGCGATCCATCTGGAGAGAAGGCCACAGATCTCACCAAATCAGAATGACCCTCAAGTGTCTTGAGATGGCTCTCAGTATGAGGATCCCAAAGCCTGATGGTACAATCATCTGATGCTGATGCCAGGAGCAATCCATCTGGAGAGAAGGCCACAGATCTCACCCAATGAGAATGGCCCTCAAGTGTCTTGAGGTGGCTCCCAGTGTGAGGGTCCCACAGCCGGATGGTATGATCATCAGATGCTGATGCCAGGAGCAATCCATCTGGGGAGAAGGCCACAGATCTCACCAGATCAGAATGTCCAGTCAGAGTGGCAATGCTAGAGGGCCAATCTGAATCTTGCCCATTATGTACAATTACAGTTGGATTGGGTCCTTGTTGGAAAGCTCCCAAGAGCTGGCTGTTGGTAGGAAGGAATGGTAAAACAGACTGGCTGATGTGTGCTGCACTAGCTTCAATGGTTGGTCCATGGGTCAAAATCATCCGGACAGCTTCATGCAAAACAGGGGCAATGTGAGCCAGGAGACTTTTGGATCTCTAATTCAATAGTCAGTAATATGATCCTCAATCAAGCAGTTTGATCACAGACCATCCAGGGAAGAATTTCCCATATGCCCCTAGCAGCATCACTTACACAACCCATCATGCTCATCATGGCAATCCACCGTAACAAAAGGCCCTTTCCCACATTATTCCCAAGACCAGTAAACCTCTCCAGCATATCCCTAACCTCATCATCAACCTGCTGAACTTTTCTCAAATGGGATGTCCAATAGCGGCCTGCATACTGCACTTCTTCTCCCACCACTGAGGTAAGCTTGGCACTAAGATTCTCCACACCTGCATTGAGTGAATTCCATGGAACAATCTCATCTATAGCAGGAACAAGCTTCTCATTGAGAAGATTGAGGCAGCAAAGGGCCATCCACCTCTCATGCTTCTCCACATCAACCCTCAGTTCAGGATCCTCACACCGTCCCATGATGAAATCTGGAAAGGAAGGGTGATAGACCTCCACTTTTCCCTCTGGCTCTGAGGGTAGTGGAATAATGGATTGTATGCGGGTTAGCAATGGTTTAGGATCAGGGACTGTGGCAAAAGTGCCAAGTGCTTTCATAGGCAATGGATCCTTCAGCAGAACCACAGCATGGAGAAGATGGTAAAGCTGGGCAGGTACATCTAGAGGGGTTCCATCCACACTCGCGGACAAGACTGTTTTATAAAGGCTGTCCAGGTCAGCATAAGGACTCGCATCAGTTGGATCTGCACCACCCAATACAGCGCGCAGTCGACGCTCGGGATCCATGACCTTAGCATCTCCAATGAACTTGGATGCAGTAGCAGCCCAGATGAAGAGTCCGCCAGCTTTCCTTGTGAGATCTAAGACAGTTTGGGATGAAGGCCACTCATCCTGGACGATATCACTAAAATCTTCGCGAATAGACTTGAACCGATCTTGGAGATATAGCTCAATGTCGTGAGAAACAATGTTCTTATCAACTTCATGAACCACGACCTTGTCAATATTCGCAAGCTGGTTAAGCTTGACAGTGATATGGCGCTCCGGGCGGCTTGTTATGAGTATACGGAGGCCAGGGATGCCAGTGCAGCCGTCAAAAAGGTGGCGGAGTATTCCTTTCGCACCGTCTGCTTCGTCTGGATCACACTCATCTAGAGCATCAATCACTAGTAAAAGAGGTGCCGAAAGATCAACACGTCGAAGGGGCACGAAGAAGAGGTCGGTGCATTGGGTTCCAAGGGAGGCACGAGCAAGCTTCTCATCTTTTTTCAAGGCTTCCACAACAGCCGCACCGAAAGTCGGAAGCTTCTTAGCGAGGTCCCGTACAATCGTCCCAAGGAAGAATTTTGCACTGGACAACCCTGCGTGTTTACGGACGAAGAAGAAGCTTGACCCGAGAAGGCCAGACTCCTTGGCGTACCGCGCGATGGTACAAGCAATGGTCGACTTGCCGATCCCGGCCAGGCCATTCACCCAGAACACGGATTTACTTGTATCACTGATTGGTCGGTGCAACCATTGCTTGATGTGATCAAGGATTTCGGTTCGCGTTCCGGGGAAACAGTTGGATGGAGCACCCTGCCGGCTGGTGTCATAGCCAGCATCGAGTGTATGAGAAAGAGTGCTAAGATGAGAATCCGAGCGAAGTTGCTACGCTATTGGTTAGCTTGGGGGCCAGGAGGACAGTTGTAACCTGAACCGCACCTCAATCCCTAAGGCAAGTCGGACTACTTGCGCAGCCTATGTCCATTAATTAACGTTTAATGCATGGCTTACAGGTAGCGGAGAATACTTACTTGAAAGGCCCTCACAGCATCACGCATCCCTTCCCCAGCTGCCTGGATATCGCCGACGATTTTGTCACGATCCGCCCACCGCTGACCACGACTTTGACCCTGGTACGATTTCAAGGGCGAAATAACCTTATCAAGATTACTGAAACGGAAATTCAGATTGTTCCGACTCTGAGATACTCTCAGGAGATGTGGACGCACACCGATAATGTATCGATTGCTTGGGCAAGCTCGGGCGGAACAGCATCTTTTCCCTTATATTGTTCGAGCGGCTCCGATACCGACTGGTTAAAGAATTCGACACTGTTCTCGAGTTGACCAATCGCATCGGCGTTGCCACTGACTTGCTGCAAGACCCGAAATTATTGGCATTAAGGACCCGCTGAGCCAGTTCTGGATCTTACTCACTTTCAGCTGATTGACTACTTCAAGGAAGCCACTGATCGCGCTCTTGAGTCCAGGAACTGGGATACTATCGAGAGTCTTTTCAGTGATACTCAACAAACTTAGAACACCATTCCAAGCTGTGCTGAGTCCCGTGTCCCGCCTTGACGATGTTAGCGTGGTTGTGACAGAGGCCCCTGCATGTGGCAGACTTTGCGATGATGTATCCTTCTTCTTGGAGAATTTTTCCTTGAGTTTCCTGAACATTTTGGACATATTGCAACGACGATCGAGTAGGACAGTTCAACAGGTTGCGTGTGTGAGGCTTGAGAGTGCGTACAGCCCCTTCAAGTCGCCTAATCAGGAAGCCCTTAGAGTGCCGTTCTGGCGGTTCTACGTGCAAATACCCCGTACTCGATCGCACGCCGCAACTCGCGTTGAACTTTACTCTGTTGGGAACACCTGCGATATGATCGGGGGAGTTAGCAAAACTACTCAGCTAGGTCTCCTTTGCTATATATATACCTCCATTGAGGCATCAACCCAACGCGATGACGAATTAATCATGCGGAAACGCGTAGCACAACAGATGGGAGATTCAATGAGAGGTGTTCTGTTCTTGTGGGAGGACTCCTCGCAACATGGATAAAGCCCTCCTTCGGCTCTACAGATTTCGTCAGCTCCACAACGATCAGACACTCTCGCCTGTTCCGCCCCGATTTTGTCTCTCTCAAATTAATCTGCGCCTCCCGATCAGCCAATTTTGGGCACCGTTCTCGATATCTTAGTACGCCAATGACCGAAAGACAGTCGACCCCGCCTTACTAATACTCGCTAGAGTCCACTGTCCAGACAAACCTAAACGCGCTTGCCCTGGGCCATACAATCGCGTCAGAGCGTTGGACCTCACACGTAGACCTCAACAGAAGTGAGCCACTTGTATCACTGCTTACATACTGTGCCTTCCTTATTTAATCTTGATTTTGCCTTTCCCTCGCGTACTGGCCGCGTTTGTTACGGCACTTGTCGTGTCAATGGGAGACTTTCGTTCGTTGCTCCTGGTTTCTGCTCATATCCAGTACATCCCTCCCTCTCACGGTGTCTACCATTCTCCGTCGTGCCACTTCAACTTTGTCATGGGCGCTTACGCTGACGCGGTCGTTTTCGTGGCCAATTATACTATCGAGACCGAGCAGGCATCATGCAATCAACGCCACCGATGCCGACCCCATTTATCACTCACATTTGCCATCATCCGAGTTGACGCCACATAAATTTATTACACCGGAGCATGGTCCACGCAGTCTATTAGTACGCAAAGTTCTCGTTGTACAGCGAGTAGTGGTCTATTCTGTTGTTGCTCTCACTTTGCATCGCATCAGTTTACTTCCTGGCTGCCTTTGCGTAACGCGTACGGACCCGGTGACAAATGGCTCCGCCGTCCTTGATCCTCATCAGCCAAGGGCTGAACCCCATTTAGGCACGCAAAACAATCGCTTGCCTTAGTATCGTTCACGATCGTGTGCGTGGAGTAGCTTCTTTATTCGGGATTGGACGCCCCGCGTGTCTGAAAGATTATATAGCAGAAATATCTCCCATTGATCCGCAAACTCGATGAAGTATCTAATTCGATGCGAAACACAACCGCATGGAACGCTTGTCATTGGTTCGTTCCTCGCGTCCTACGGCGACCAATTTATTTTTTGGTTGTTACTTGTTGATTGCTTCGTTGGGGCGTTTCACACATACGAGGCGGTCCTTTCTCCTTTTGTCGACGCACTCAGACTATCTTCCAATTAGATATACTATTGGGCCAACCTAGGCTGGGTAGGGATTTACAATGGCAATTTGTTGGGGATTCCTGTGGGGCTAATAAGGTGAGTACCAACGATTACTAACCGCAAATGTTCTCTTCGACGTTTCAATACCTTCATCGGTGCCGTTACTGGATGGAGCGAGGAGACATATGCCGTTTTCTGCAGCATCCTTCAGAGACGCCATTTTGGACCTCAATGACCACTTATTTTCCTGGCTTACGTGTAATTAGATCATCGGGTTCGATACCACTGACATCATCTCCTCCGAATGAATAAAGCATAAGCGATGCGCAGCAGGCACTCTAGTTAAGAAAAGCACGAATCAATGGGGTTGAGAGATGACGTGAGAATGCCAAACGCCAGCCAATGAGAAGGTCGAATTAACCAATTAGCGCCCCATCGATGAAGCCCCAGTAGACAAGAGTGATTGACGGCGCGCGAAATACAACCAGCAGCCTACAAACAATTTGTGTTCACCGCGCGCGCAAGTTTAACCATGTCCGGCAAACATGCAATAAAACTCTGTTCCGGACGCAACCAATGCGCTGGGACCCTCAGAAATGGTGCTGCTATTCTTCCCTCTGCATCCCGAATGCGCCTGAAAACCTGTTGTGCCGATCCAAATTTGAGTGGCTGGCCCGGGAACATGCTTACACCTGTGTGGGTCGCAAATATATAGTATATACCCCGAAGATCCGTACAGGAGAACAAATAATTGGCAGATAGAGCGGATTGGTAGAGCCGTAAGTAAGCGGGTATTTATCAACTAGCCTCTCTGAAAGTACATACAGCACGGCCGTTTACCAACACAGAAATGAGAGGTTCTGCATTCATGGTGGCCTTGCTATCACCACGGCCAACTGAAATCTTGAAGCGCGACAATAGGAGAGCTGGTGGGAATACCCAAGCCACCGAGGGGTTCCTTAGAGATGGTGAAGCCATATTTAGTTTGAACCCTGCAGGCTCACTTCATCCGACGCCAGCATGCAACTGCTGCTTCATAGTCATGGCCCCCCGGACCAGAGGTCGAATTTCCCAGTCTCTGACCTTGGCGAAAGGGTCCTGAGTGTATCCGCCTGCCGGATAGGATTTCATCCAGCGCAAGTGCTGGGTAAGCTATAATGCCACCAAACGCCAGCCAATGGGTGAGCGAGAAGCGAGCGCTCTAACTAATGAGCGCTAGTCGGTGAAGCCCGCCCGAGCCCTAAGTGTGAGGTAGAATAGTCACATCAACAAATTGATTGATGATGAAAGGAAACGTTGAGTCTTGTAGCCTTGAACTGCCCAGTCAAGCCTTGTCCGCTAGCTGCACGGCGAGATGACCAATCAGCCCCGCACTATCCATGCGAATACCCAGTCACACAGAAGCAAAAATGTACAGAGCGAAATACCTCCTTCACTCGTATTTAAGGATCCGAAGGAACAGAACATCATCCTGTAGTAGTTCGAACCCGCCATGTCCTCTAGCTCTCATACTGCAGAAAGTGTGCTGAAAACCTCCTACGATTTCATTGTCATCGGGGGTACGTTCTCATACTACCAAGATCGCGCTTTGTACTTATGGTATACGCAGCTGGCACCGCAGGCGCTGTCGTTGGAGCGCGACTATCGGAGAACCCTAATTTCAAGGTTCTCGTGCTTGAGGCTGGCACAGAGTGGGTTGGTTAATACCGCGCCGGAATTGCACCCTCAGTCTTCCCAACAGCGCGCCAAACACTCCGGCGTGGAACGTCCCGGTATATGCTCCGCAACCAGCGTTCGGCCCAGAGGGCCCGGGGTTGTGGCGATATCAGAGCGAGCCTCAAGTCGGCCTCAACAACAGAACAGTCGCATTCCCACGTGGAAAAGTGGTCGGTGGGACGTCAATGGTGTGTGCGCGATTTACCTGTCCGTAGTCCCTTCCAATCTCTTGAATATTGATATAGATCAACTTCATGTGCTATACTCGCGGGTCGTTCGAAGAGTACGACCGAATCGCCAACATCACCGGCGATCAACGTTGGTCGTGGGATAATATCCTCTCGTTTTCCAAAAAGGTTCGGACTCATTGTATTCATTCCAGCCGCAATCCTCGTTCCGACTTGCAATCTCATTTCCGACCTTCACCTAGTCCGAAACCCGCAAGCTTCCCACCAGTGGTCACGACTACACCGGGGATTATAATCCCGACCTCTACGGAGACCAAGGCCCTATACAAGTCTCCCTTCCTAATTTCGCAACTCCTTTCGCCGAAAGGGTTAAACAAGGTATGCCACATCCAGTTTCCATGTCGCACGAGAATGTTTGAATATACCAGTTATTCAATGTATAGCTGCACACTGTTGTAAGACAGCAACGGTTGGTTCGACGTTTAGCGCAAGGATACCCGACCTACATTATCTCGGTGAGATGCCCGATGATTGATGTTAGGTTTATTTCTAGTCGGTCTCTACTGTCTGATCATTCCATGTTTATTTAGCATTTATCTTCCTTTTTCCGACCTGTTGGTCGCTTCACTTTCCTTTATTTGTAATAATCCTCACTCCTGTTACACTCGATTAATCGACGCTTAAAAGCTCGATGTTTTCTTCGCTGACGCCCTCAGTTCTCATTGCGTTCACAACCGCGAGACTGAGGTCGGTATATCTTTTATCATATTCACTCGTTTACTTGTTCTAAAACCTTCACCTCCCGACCGCAAAGTCGTTAAACTAGGAAGGTAAAAAGCAAAAGCAAAAGACATAGCATAAAACTAGTACATTCACGGAAAAAAAAAAAAAAAAAAAAAAAAAAAAAAAAAAAAGTACCACAGGCCGGCAATGTCGACCAGGGGGTAAAAGCTCAGGCGGCACCAGGGCGGGCGTCGCGCCGACCCCGAGCCCAGGGCCGTCGACCAAGAGCGCCTAATTGCCACTTAAAAACGCCGAGCGCGGCTTAGGCAATTGGGTTCATATGGGTAGTTCCGCATGAACTAGGACAGTTCCTAGGAACATCCACACAGCCTACGCGCCGTAGACTAGGTGTCCCCCTAAAGACTCGCAGAGTCATGAGGTATCACCTCCGTTGGTTTCATACCCCCTGACGAGGGCGCAGCCCGAACAGACAACCGAGCCTAGGGTCCTCCCCTAAATCCCAAAAAAAAACCTCACCAATCACCCCACCCACCTTAGACCTAACCAACCAGCCCAAACCGCTGTGCGGGGCTCACGAGACTACACATGTCACCTCCACCCCAATGATGCCCTTACATACCACTAGCCACCAAACGTGACTGGCTCCTCCCTGACACATAATAGCTACCCTGATGATCCCTGGCCACTATACGTCCATGGCGGCGCAACCAGAAATGCCCCCTCACCCAACCCAACCACCTTGTCTCACGACTACTCTGCATTCCCCATATCTGGACTGTAACGCCCCGAGAAATACATGTCTGCTTAAACCTCAACGAACCCCAAGACCGCTAAAAGCGGCCCTCGGCCATGGAAGGTTTAAACGCCCCATGCTCTCCACGCTCTCCCCCTAACGCAAAAACCCACACACGATATCCCTAACGTAACATTGAGACATGAGCAACACTCTGTCGAAACCCCGACTAGTAACCTACGTGCGACAGTCTGTGCTCCAGAATCCACCCCATCACCCACCACCCTGCTACGAGTACTCATACAACCTATCCGAACTAACGCATATTACAACCAAATGAGCATTACAAATATCATGACCCACTGAGAGGCCAGCCTGCCTGCCGATCTAAGTCAGACCATCACTGCCAAACCTCCGCCCTGACAGGACCACAGCAACCTGGCAAGGAAAACTGCTATACCTTACAATTCAACCAGACCCCGGCCCCACCCTCACATGCCAAACTGCCCTTATGTCCCGGCCTTGAGACGCCATCAAACCCAAGCACTAAAACCCTCTGGCTGTCAACTAAATGCATAAGCTAAAACCAAACCGCTGCGACTCAACGTTTAAATTCGCCCTAATGCAAAAAATTCCAATAACGCAACGTCGTATGCGCCAACCAAGTGAAAACCCGGAAAGCACCTAGACTAACATTGTACCGCCTCCAAACCCTGAACTGCCTTTCGCATACGTCAGCCCGTTGAAAACACCGGGACACCCCAGTAGCTGGAAATAAAAGCGGGTAACTCCACAGAAACTGTGTCAGTTCCCCCTAGTCCGCCCACCGTCCTAGCCCCTAACAAGCTCCCCATTAAACCATGGAGGTAAATACCCCCCTGCCCTCTCTACAACCTCTGACAAGGCCCAGTCCGAACAGTCATTCATACCCCTCCATACAACCTTTCAAACCCAGCTGACGTCTGAGGATGAACACATGATAGCGGCCATAACTAACGCACCGCAAAACTTCGCAGTCACTATCGCTGACCAAGTGGAGGACGAGAATATCTCCGACTCTGACTCCGACAACCCAGACTCTGCCCAATCCAGCCCCCTCCTTGGGAAAAATCATCAAGGGAATGGTAAAAACAAAGATCTCACTTTAGTAACCGAAAATGAAATGAGGAAACACGCGAGATCACCCACTGCCGCGAGAATTCAAGGCCCCCTAAAGGCCCCCCCCCACTTCCTCCCTCCAAAAGCGATGAGGCCCCCCCTCATTACCCCCCAGAACCAAAAATCCTCCCTCGTGCCCACTCCCGACGTCTTCGACCTCGGGTCGGGTGGCTCGACAACCTTCCAAAAAAACACAAACCCCATTGAATTCCCCCCGTCCCGTAGCCCGGCCTCTGAAGGCAATGGATCCCCCATCACCACTGACCAACCAACCTTCATACCGGTAATCGCTGAACAACCCGACGATGGAAGAGACGATCTAAACTGGCTACCACTAGGACCTGACCTGGCAAACTTTTACGCGCACGGCCTCCGCCCAGGCCGCCTCCTCGAAGGAGCAAACCCTGACCGTGCCAAAGCCTGGCTAAAAAAGGCAGGTGCCATCCTAGCCATGCCCCTTGACGCCGCCCACAGCGAAGAAAACACTAGCAATTTCCAAACCAACATGGAAGCCTTTCTAGAAAGGGCGTTCCCAGACCAAGTCGGGGAAGTAAACATCATCCCCCCTGTCCCTATTGACCTTAGACGTGGTGGAACCCCCCAATACGCCAAACCGTGGGGCTTCTTAGTTGAAGGCCTAAATCCCCAATTTGCCGACCTCCTCATTCGTGAACACCTATGGATATGCAAAACGATCGGGTTCATCGCCATCGGCACCAGATTCAAACCCTCATCCTTCATGATTTCCATTGTGGGAATGGGTAACAGGCTAAAAGACGCGAACAACATAAAAGAAGCCGTCAAACAAACGATCTCCAAAAACCCGAGCCCCTTCCAAAAATTCCTCAAGGAGGCAAGTATGACAGATGACCAGATAAGAGTAATTGTGGACAGCGTCTGCGTAATCCCGAGAGGATACGCCCCCAATGGGAAGGAAAACAATGAGAACACCGAAGAAAAAAGAAGACCAACTTCTGACAAATCGGTAACCATGTGGGAGTTGCATATGGACCCCCCCTTCAAAACCCTCAAGGAGGCACGCGAAACTCCACATGACCAATGGTCCCAATCCTTCAGAACAGCCTCATTTGTAAGTGAAAAAACCCAGGCAGGACACGCCTTCAATAGACAAAGAGTCTGCAACACCTGTAAGGCTTCCGACCACTTCTTCCACTGCTGCCCGATCCACTCTCACTCAGCCTGGAATCAACGGTACCCCAAACAAGAGGCTGACACGGAAGCCGGTATCGACGGTGACATGATCCCCTCCAGCTCCAACGGAGGACCGTTCCCCTCACTCCCCCGATACGCGCCTTACTCGAACTTCCAACGAGGAAGAGGACGTGGCCGCCCCCCTACTCAATACGGCTCGCGATTCCCCCCCTACGTCCCCCCTAAATACAACTTCGACTAACACGCACAAAAACAGACTTCACCCTAAAAACCGCGGACAACTAGCAAAAAATTGATTAAATAGCCTGAACTATTTCAGCCCACACCATCGTAGCTACTCCGTCCTGCCCTGTAAATACCTCTATGACCCATACACTTGAATCTGAAATTCGAACGGAAAATTTTAATCAGCTACCCTACTCCGAACCTCCCCACCTCACAACCCCCCTACTGAGCCCACACTTACTGAGCCTTCGGGCGACAGGAAAGCCCAGTAGCTCAACCCCTAAGAAAACCCCAACATCCTGAACCCCGGCTGGCAATCGGATCGGGAAACCACCAACTGCCTGTAAAAAGATCAAAACCCGAAAGCCCAATCACACGGTGAATACTCAACCAGTCAACCGACCACAGCCCCCGGTGCCCGGAGGGCAGAGAGTTTATACCGTTTTACCAAAACCCAATGACGGGCACCTGGGATCGGAAAACGGACCCAAACCACAACCCCCGCCTAGACTGCTCCGCCTGAGAGGAGGAAGTGGCCCAAAGACGACAACAAATGGCCACCTCTGCATCGCCGCCCTCAACATCAAGGGGGCCAACAGCCCACAAACTAGACAAAAATGGAACCTAATCATAGACAAAATGAAAAATGACAAAACCGCGGTGATGTGCGTCTCTGAGACTCACACTGACTCCACACAGGAAAACCAACTATCCGACCGCTATGGTGACGACTTCCAAATCTTCCACTCCTTCGACCCGGCCCACTCCAGAGCTGCAGGGGTCGCAATCATCATCAACAAAAACATTATTAAGAAAAATGTAACAGAAACAATCAACCTCATCCCTGGCCGTGCCCTCCTCTCCACGATTGAATGGCCCACCGATAGAAAGATCACAATCCTAGCAATATATGCCCCAAACGTCAGAGGAACGGGTATTGAAAGCGCTGCTTTCTGGCAGAACCTAAGTGAACTCACAGAAAACCTCCAAATCGACATGATCCTAGGAGACTTCAATATCATCGAGGACGCGATTGACCGTACCCCCCAACACGAAGACGCAGATACCGCGGTAAGGGCCCTCAAAGAACTCCTATACCTCCACAATCTAGAGGACGGCTGGCGCAAGACCAACCCCCCACCATCAAAAAACTACACCTTTGGCCATAGATCTGGAACCCACATGTCAAGAATCGACAGAATCTATGCCACAAACGAAATAACCAACAGCACACTCACCTGGAACATCCAAAACCCCGGAATCCCCACCGCCGACCACCAGCTAATCTCGGTCGATATCCATGACCCCCGCGCACCCCATATCGGCAAAGGTAGATGGGCCATCCCAAACTTCCTAATAAACGACCAGGAGTTCCTGATCGGAGTTGAAAAACTAGGATCTGATGCTCTTGCCGACATGATCAGTCTCCCCTTGCCAAACGATGGTGGAATACAAAATATATTCCTCCAGTTCACACAGGCCACCATATCTCTTGCACGCAAACTCGCTAAAACTAAGTCAGGCAAGTTAAACTCAACCCTCAGACGCCTTGAGAAACGTAGAGACAAAGCAATCAGAAATCTAAACTCACCCCGTTATGCACACCACCTGGAGGAAACCCAATACCAGATAATGGCCCTAACCGAAAGGATCCAAGAAATCGAGAAGACCCGCCATAGGAACAACAAAACCTCAGCCAGCACGAATAGACGCCTATTTGCCGAGTCAATAAACAAATACTGGTGCGGATGGGGGAAAAACAAAAAACCACATGACACAGTAACTGAACTGCGCATTCCCCACACCGACCCCCCCTGCTACACCTCAAACTCCTCCAAAATGGCCAAAATCACTGCTGAACACTACAATGCAGTACAAACAAGAGACCTCGACCTCTCCTCCCCCCTTGAAAGGGAAAATTGCATCGCAGAGTCCCTCTCGCAAATTACCACTTCCCCCTCAACCCAAACAATTCCCATGTCAACAAGCATCAGCTACGATGAGACCCGTGCCGCCCTAAAACAATCCCCAAATGGAAAGGCCCCAGGCCTTAACGGAATCCCAACCGAACTCTACAAAAGGCTCCACGAAAGATGGTTAGCTAAGTCTGAAAGCCGTGTAGACATAGTCAAACTCCTCCACAATGTAATTCATGATATCGAAACGCGAGGCATATCCTCCCCTCAATTTACAGCTGGCTGGCTATGCCCCCTGTACAAGAAAAAAGACAGGAGAGAGATCGAAAACTACAGACCGATAACCGTACTAAATGCCGAATATAAAATTATGACAACAGCCCTCATGAATAAAATTGCCCCAATTGCCCCCAACCTCATAAATAAATGCCAGGCTGCCTTCATAAAAGGCAGAAGTATTCATGACCAAATCGACCTGGTTAACCGCATGATAGACCTATGTGAAATCATTAATCAAGATGGTGCGATTGTTGCCCTTGACCAGGAGAAAGCATATGACAGAATACGCCATGACTATCTCTGGCGCACTCTAGAGGCCATGGGAATCCCAGCCCCCACAATCAACACCATAAAATCACTGTACTCCGAACCAAAAACCCGCGTAATCCTGAACGGCGAAATCAGCGACAAGTTCCCTGTACACAGAGGTGTAAGGCAAGGTGACCCACTGTCATGCCTCCTGTTCAACATAGCAATCGAGCCCCTATCAATAATGTTAAGAGAATCAGACAAAATACGAGGCCTAGAAATTAAAACCCCGTCACTCACACAAAGAGTCATTGTCTCCCTCTTCGCGGATGACGCCGCGGTCTTCCTCTCAAAAGACGACGATGTGGACTGCCTAATGAGTATCCTCAATACCTGGTGCACTGCTTCCGGGGCAAAATTCAACAATGAAAAATCCGTAGTCATCCCTGTGGGCTCACCAACATATCGCAAAACCCTACTCAACACAAGAAATCTAAACACCAACTCGACCAGCCCCTTCCACAACGATATATTAATCCTCGAGGATGGACAAACCACGAGATATCTAGGAGCACATTGTGGAAACCACCCAAGCGGGATTGACCCATGGCCAGACATCATGGCCAAAGTCAGCACTAGTCTTAAAAACTGGCAAAAAACCTACCCGACTATCGAAGGACGAAAACACATCACCCAAATGGTCATCGGCGGCATGACCCAATTCCACACCTCCGCCCAGGGCATGCCAAAAAAAATTGAAAAAGAGCTCGGCACCCTAACAAAAAACTTCATCTGGAATTCTCAAATCCCCCCAATCAGCATGAAAACTCTAAACAACCCACCTGGCGAAGGGGGAAGAAACATCCTAAACATCAAGGCGAGGAACGAGGCGATCCACCTTGTAAAACTAAAGAGAATCCTCAACAGGTCCCCCAACAGATCACCGGCTGCAGACGCCGCAGAAGCGTTAATCATCTCCTCACTCCCGAAACACGTCCGGGACGAAGAGTCCCGCGACCCACGAATAACCGACATCTTCACCCAGCAAATCTTCATCAAGCAACGATACACGAGCAGAACCCTCCCACACGAAATCAAAGCCATACTCAACACAGGAGTCAAGTATAACCTAGCCCTCGATGACATTAACCTTCCTCTGAGCATCAGACTCGATCTCCCAGCATGGCACCACATCGGAAGAAAAGACCGTGTCAGAACAAGAGAAAACACGCCCGCGGCAAAATGTCTGAGAAAAACCCACGACTGCTTCCGCACAGGCGACCTCCTCACCATGGCAAACATTTTAGACGATCCATTCCACAGACGCTGGAGTAAATCTTGCTCCTGCCCCCCCTGCACAAGATTCCGTACAATGGGTTGTAAAAACCCTGAGACCTGCTACCAAGCCGCTGAAAACATAATCTCGAACCTGAAACCCCAAGTCAACCCCCGATCGGTCCTACCATGCCGTCCCCCCCCCTCGAGAACCGATATAGAAAACACCGGAACCCACTCCCTAGGCGACGTGCTGAACGTCAAAACCATCAAAACCTTCCCCGACCTGAAAAACAATACGTCAGACTACTTCCGCATCTTCCGCGAAGAACTCAACCAGACAAATCCCCCCACGCTGAGACTCTCAAGGAACCTCAGCACTGACATCGTTGCCTACACAGACGGGTCCTGCACTGGCAACGGCGAAATCGATGCCAGCGCCGGCTACGGAGTGTGGTACAGTACAGATAACCCCAACAACGCCAGCCTCCCCGCAAACCGCACCTTCCCCCAAACAAACAATACTGCTGAAATCCTAGCAATAAACCACGCAGCCGCTACGACGCCCCGAAGAGCTAGACTCCACATCAAAACTGATTCTAAATGGTGCATGAATACACTAACCATAGATCTGGACAATGCGGAAGACCAGAACTTCATCGGATCCCCTCATCCCCTTGCTATAAAGACCACCATCAACTCCCTCCGGACAAGAAACGGCATTGTCTCCATCGAATGGATTAAAGGCCACAACGGCTGCGAAGGCAACGAAAATGCTGATAACCTCGCTGCAACAGGCTCCACAAAACCCCCCAATGCCGAACCCACCATCACCAGCCTCCCCTTCACCCAGAACGGCGCTAGACTGTGCGCCCTAACCCAAGCAACCGCCACGAAACTAATAATCCGAGAATCAGCAAAGAACAACCACAACAAAAGTCAAAGATCAACGAAGAACCTTGACCACATCAGAGACACCCTGAAAAGCCTTGACTGCCCGGCCCCAAACAACGACTTAATCTGGCGCGCCATCTTAAGAAATAAGAATGAACTGAACCCCAGCCTTAGAAACTTCGTATGGAAACTTGTCCACGGCGCCCACAAAGTCGGCCCCTACTGGAGTAAAATCCCTGGATACGAAGACCGCGGCCTATGCGCGAAATGCGACGTCCCTGAATCGATGAACCATATCGTTTTTGTGTGCCCACACAACCAAGGCCCTAAACTTTGGGCCGCCATAAGATCCATGAACACAACAAAAGGAATACGCTGGCCCAATACCATGGATATACACCATGTAATGGCAGCCCCCCTAACCTTAATTAAAAGCCGGAGCGGCATCACAAACCACGGTGCTACTAGATTCTTCAGAATCGCCGTCCTCGAATGCGCTTGGCAAACATGGAAACTAAGATGTAAAAGAGTCCTCAGCGACGACACAAATGGCGAAATTAAAATCTCGCACAACGAAGCCATAAACTCCCTCAAAGCCGCCATGAACGAAAAACTTAACCAAGACAGATCCCTCACGAACAAGAAAAAATACCATAATAAAGCTCTACCCGAATGGCTCGTTCTACACACCCGGAGCGGTACACTGGAGAATGAACTATGCCTCCCCGAGAATTGGCTAAAGTGCAACGGGGTTTTAGTGGGTATACCTGACCCTCCGCGGTCACGGGAGCCCCACACGGAGCGATCCTCGCCAGTGCGATAACGCATTCCCCCGTGGTGGCAATTCCCCTCACACCGAGGCACCAATCATCAACTACTGGAAGGCACCGCCCTCCCTACAAACCTTCAGGCATCACGCCCGCGAAAGCTACCGAAGGTTCCACCAAGAAAAAAAAAAAAAAAAAAAAAAAAAACCTTCACCTAGTATTATTCTATTCTAGGTAGATATCCAATTATAGTTCTCATTGCGTTCACAACCGCGAGACTGAGTATTATTCTATTCTAGTCTGCGTTACACACGAGCACCCGGACTTCAGCTGGAACTCGGACACTAACTCTGGGAAACCTCTCGGTATTGGCAGACTATTTGGAACCGTAGGAACAGGAGTTAGGAATAGTTCGAGAAACTACTTCAAAGCGGTTGGGGCCCGACTGAACTTGGATTTGTTACGGAATGCCCATGTTACTAGAATATTGTTCTCTGAGGACAAAGTACCAGTTGTCACTGGCGTCGAGTTTACCGAAAGCCCAAATGGTAAAATTATTGCATTAGGGAATGATTTTGGTTAGTAAAAATCGTCCTCATGAAATGATTTGGATTCTAGGTCCAAGGACTGTCGTTAGTGCATCCAAAGAAGTCATTCTTGCCGCTGGCGCCATCAACTCTCCCCAAATCCTTCTGCTCTCAGGCGTTGGACCAAAATCAGAACTCGAAGCATTGGGGATCAAAGTGGTTAAAGATCACCCCGAAGTAGGCAAGAACCTACAAGACCACACGCTGCTTTTGAACAATGTGAGTTCCGGGCGTTTTGCACTTTGGTGTGGAAGGTCATATATATTAATATATCGTTAATTTCGGGAAAAAAAAGTGGATTATCAATGACAAGGGCACAAGGGACGAACTCTCCCACAATCCTGCCTTCGCTCAACAACAAGAATGTTTGTATAACCCAAACAAAGCCGGTACGTAAATCAACCTCCGCACTAGTACTGTCGATCAGGCCAAGCACCGCAACATGGCTGAACTATCCATTTTTTAGGTCGTTTGTCCAACACGATCGCTCAATCGATTGGGTTCTTCCGTTTACCTTCTGACGATCCCATCTGGTCGCAACCTGGCATCGTCGACGATTGCCCAGGTCCAAATTCACCGCACTTTGAATTAATCTTAGATGACGGATTTGCGAGTACACTCTATCCCGAACCTTCGGAGGGGAATTTCATGACCATTGCGACGGTCAACTTGTCTCCTAGTTCTAGGGGAAGCGTGAAACTTGGGTCAAGCAATCCTTTCGATGCTCCTTTGATCGATCTTGCACTCTTCGTAAAGGAACCCGATCTCCACACCGCCGTGGCCGGTAAGGCTCGGGTGTGACTGACTTGGCTGAAGCTAAGCTTACTATACTCTTTCCCATACTAGCCATCAAGCATGCACGAAACTTCTTGACTGCGCCTATTTTCAAAGACTACGTTCTAGGAGAATGGGGTTCATTAGCTCAAGCACAAACGGATGAAGAGATTATACAGTATATTCGTAACAATACGGGTGCGTGTGATACGAGGGTTTTGATCTAGGGGGTGCTGACATTTGCTTTTCATCTTCCAGTCTCCGCTTTCCATCCTACCAGTAGGTTTCTGATTATTATTGGGTTAGCGAATGGGTTAATTTTTTGATTCACTTCCTGTTCGTTAGGCACTCTTGCCATTTCGGCCAAGGACAGTCCTGAGGGTGTCGTTAATCCTGACTCAACTGTGAAGGGTATTAAGAAGCTCCGCGTCGTCGATGCTAGTATTTTCGTGCGTGCCCGGCTTTCTGTACTACTCTTTCTTACGTTGCTGAGCAAACCTATGTTTTTTTTTTTTTGTTTTTGCCAGCCCCTCGCACCCGCAGCCCACCCTCAGATTCCAATTTATGCGATTGCAGAGCTCGCCTCGGAGACCATCGCAGGGGATTACAAGTTAAACGCAAGGTTATGATGTGTAAGACATAGAAGAGATCTGAGGGGGAGAAAAAATTATACGCGTTTCTGCGCGAGTCCGTTGTACAAAAGAGTAAAAACGTGAAAAGTAAAAAAGTAAAAATAGACCAATCCCTATGGATCAGTGTGTTGTTTGCATCACAACTACTCAGAAGGCATCCCTAGCTCATAAAAAAGCCGTAACCTCCAAATTCGCCGCAGGGTCATCTCAAGGTCGTGCATGGTGACCGGGCTACGCTAGCGAGAAGAGTAAACACGAGAACCGAACGTTAACACACATGACAACAAGTCAAAATCCGCAATCATGATTCCAGCCTCCATCTAATCCCTTGGGCGTTCACCAGAGGAAAAAAAAATCACAATTGCAAGCCATAAGTGATGGTGCCTAAGGGGCCAACCAAGCCGCTCGGTATTACCATTGACACCATTTGGTCATCCTTTCACACCCAAGCTGAGGATCAACCTCTACAATCTCCTCTTCAATCCCCGATACACCAGAATTCCCGTGTTCAGGCATTGAGGTTGGCCTCCTACATTTGGACTGTCGCTCGAAAGCGGGGTTATCACTGAATGTTTTTGCTTCCTCCACATTGTATTCATGCTGTGCGATACAAGCAAGTAAGCAAACAAATAAGACGGGCGGGGCGAGAGAAGGGATTGCGGTGAGGTGGAGTAATAGCAAAAAATCGAGAGTCCGAATAAAACATATAAACTCACATCGAACCTTGGAACTCTTGACCACAGCTCGAGCTCAGGTTGACCTTCACGATCGGACTCATGCTGCACGTCATGGGTGACGGAAATAAGAAAACTTATCCCCTAAGGTTTGGAGGTAAGTCCGGGGACTGGGAACCAATTATTCCCTAACAAATACTCACGCCTCTCTGAGTCGTGGCATCATACAAAAGCGAACGGGAGTGAAGGCTGCCATGAAGTGCCACCGGCCTCAGTGGATATGCAGCAGACCCTCATGATGATACTTAAATTGAGTAGGATACGTACTTTGAAAGAAATCCAATGGTTGAAACTAAAAATACCTCAGCTCGGCGAAGGGAGCGGGGTGCGAGGTTGTGACTTACTAACGCCAACACTTGGCCCAATGAATGGGATGACCCTCGGTGAAGCGACTACAATACCCTGAGAGTTTGCAGGGTAAAACCCACTCGTTCACGATAATCCAAATAACCCTGAACTTACTGCAGCTAGCACAATTGATACTGACCTAGAAAGTTCTATCGTGAAAGTCAGCTCAAACGAACCGCAGCACGTCCCACTTACGCAGTTGATATACCTGTACAAGCAACGTACAGTATGATGTCTCTCAAAATGCTATCGCTTGAGTTTTATTTTTCCAATGCACCGGCGGCAAAGGTGAAAGAAAATAGAGCCAACGAGCGATTCAGCTTCTGTGCTCAACATAACACGAAGAAGTGAGCAACCCACCTCACGGCTCCATTCCTTCGTCGATGGATACTCCAAGCAAGAGCACCGGCAACAACAACATCACAAAAAGCATTCGAGAGAACGAATATACGACTATGCCACATTCGTGAGGCGAAAAGCGGATCACTTGGGTTTTGATATGTGCGTTGTAATCTGTTGCGTGCTAGTGAATATTGATATGAAGACAACAAGTCGTGTAACTAGAATTACTCACATTGATACGGCGACAACTATCGAGACCGAGACCGAGGTTTCATGCGCAATATGGGTGAGATATGCTCGAGTTAAGAAAGTTGGGTGGTAGTTGAGAGGAACGTACAAAGCCCCCAACCAGCCTCGAATAACACTAGAAAAGCCTATTCCACAGAGCTTAGTCCCGTGAAAGGCGATAGAAGATAGCCGTCATCGACATACTAAAGCGAGCAGCAAGAATATGTTTCGCAGCACTACAGAATCGGGACGGTCCAAAATCAAGGGTCGTGCCAAAATTTCTTGTGAACATATGAAGATGTGGTTAAGAACTGACCACTGACAACGGAAGGTGGTATAGACGAAGAGTGATTGCGACACAACAACTGCTACCAGCTAGGCGAAAAGGTGTAAAACAAACATGTAACAGTGTAATTCAAGAAGGGCTGCACATACGTTCGTGAATTGCGGGAATATTTGAGCCCTAGGCTCGATTTGAAGTTGATCGGAGCCCAGACGATATTCGAATGTTGGGGATTAGGCATGGGGAAGAGAGAATACACGTCACTTATGTATCATAAAACAACAGTCAGCTTTCTTACCAGATCAATCTTTTGCTAACTGCGGAACCAGGAGATATTGTGAAGGCATAGAAGTCGGTCGCCATCAATAATCTATTTACAAAAAAATGGGTTACAAGATTCAAATTGACGGGCGTCCAGTATTGAAGGCTCACACTTGAAGTGGTTGTAATAACCTAAAATACATGTGTGGAATGAGCATGAGCGCACTCGGGTCTTTGTACATCGCAGAAACTTGCCACAAGAAAATGACCTGCGCACGATTTACCAAGAATGAGTACCAAATCATATTTTGTTCCCTCGCACAGGTGGCACGAAACCGGACCTCCTAACTCACCGTAATCTTCAAGAAAAGATGGTCGGTTGGAAAGCGTTTGTAGTAGAAAAAGGTTTGGACGGTGACAACCCCAATGAGCCTAATGAGTGCGGATTCTGGATTAGTGATTTACAGGAGTAACACGGCTTTTGGACGGCACAAATGCCAGCGAAGCGTTGACAGATTTAAGGTTGAGAACGAAAGCTGAATTGCAACCTACGTTGCTGAAAGTGCGAAACCCAATACAGAGAATGCAAGCCATGTCTCGAGATTTCTTAGAATCTCTGGCGATGGTGGGCCTCCTGGAGGGGGCGCGCAACTGCGGCCATCCATGCGTGTGGAGTTTCTTGGCTTGGGAAGTGGGCCCCCAAGTCTCCTGCCAGAGGGCAAGGTTGGGGAGAAACCCAAAGCTTGATTAAGTTTATTATATACGTTGTACCCAAGGAAACTATACCTCTCACGCCGGAGTTGGGGGAAGTCCGAAGCTTATAATTGCATCAGGGCGATCAGAACCTTTTTAGTTTAGTATTATTATCTCCCATTGATTCGCACGGCATGTCCCTTTTCCCAACTAATCAACTCTATCCACTTCTAGGTCAGCCATCGATGCGGAGAAAACTCCTCCAAATAGCTTCTGGAGTGTGCACAGCTCATGATGGTGTGCGCACTTGCCAATGACAACCAGAAGTTTCTCATTGGACATATTGCGTTGTTGGGACATGAGAAAGGAAGCCCGCGGATCCATGCGTTTGGCGGTTCTTTGTTACCCGGTATCAGGTCTCCTGTTCCCTATCAACACTCATACATGCCCCCCCCCCCCCTAAATACCATGGTCCTATATGGTCCTAAGCCTTAGTGCAAAGGCATGACGTGGTACGTGTTTACGTAGAAACAGTTAGAGTTGGAGCTGCTGCGAACTGTCGAGTGACACTTGTAAAACCGTCAAATAGCTAGCCATGCCCGTCCTAGTAGACCACTGATTCATTGCAGTCCTAGCGATCGTACTCGTGGAGTTCATTCATGTGTTATGTGCCTTTCAACTTCTTGATCTCGCAACAAATTATGCCGGAAGTTGAACCGAATCCAGTGGCGCTTGGACTAACTCACATCCCTCACCTCATCGTAGGAAATGTGTCCTACAAAATCATGCACCGTAACATTTGCTGCATTAAGGCAGTGATCAAAGAGCGGATACTTATGCCTGAATAAGCTGAAGGACCTAAGATAACGCGGTGCAGTCGAAATCCAAGTAGTTCAATTCACTGCACTGCCTCGAAGGTCTCGGCATCCGCGCGCTCGACGACTCCGACTAGTAGCTCGACGGGACCGCTGGTGATGATGCCTCCTGACACAATATTATGTTCGGCCAGCTCCGTTTGTTGATGGGGCCCCGCAATGTGATGGCTCGCCTTACAATAAGTCCGGCGCGGGCTACAATGCCGAGGTTCTAAGACTCCAACCTCCATATGTAACGCGTACCTTTACTGGATGAATAATCGGGCATGTTAATCCCATCATTATCTAATACCAAGCAACTTCAACACAGGGAAGTCTTGTACCAACAAATGCTGAATTGCGCAAGGTCCGTGTGAGACATCTTCCGTTAAACGTATGACACAAGAACAACCCCCATCTAAAAAAGTACATTTGATGTAACTTATGGAAAACCTATTATGTAGAACCATGATTGCGTATCGGCTGGCCTCACTACGGCGATGCGTAAGTGAATGAATTAGGACGGAAATGAGCTGAAAGGGGAAACCAGCAGGGGGGGCAACAGGACATGGCGATGAGACTCATCAGCACGAGGCGAGCGCGCTTCCGAGTGAACTCATACCCCAGTTGTGGAAAGGTGAAAGGCCCTACATATGGCTCAAGCGCAATACTGTGCCCACAATGCGCACTCAACAGCTTGGACCAAAATTTACTATGTCAAACGCCACAATAAGGGTCTATTTTGCGCGCGTAGAATGTAGTTGTACATATGGTCCTTCGATGCAATGTGAGCCGCAATCAAGACCGCGAGCGCAACGGCTTGGGTACAGTAAGATAGGTGACAAGCGATTGCAGAATCCTATGTTGCGATGGATGCATACCCTATCGGCGGGCGAAATTCGTAGCGAGGGGCAATTGGCTACTTCCAGCAATTCAACACACCATAAAAGGCCAACCTAGTGATAGTGCACAGCATGCCAGTTCAGTCTCAAGTGTCCGTCAAAGTGATGAACCACATGGAATGGTCCAAGCGAACGCGCAGCGGCTTGGACTCACCAATCATTCGAGTTTCAAGAACCTCCCATCGGCCCAGAAATCGTTCGGAGTAAAATCTGAACTGTAAACCACGCCAAAAAAAGTCTACGTTGTTCGCATGTGCAAAAGGAGCCCCATCCAGCTAATTAAGACCAGGATGCTAAGGATCAATCAGAAAAGCATTGCTCACATTACTCAGGGAGCCAGACCCGAAACCGGATATCGAGACAATTTCAAGGAGGGCTGGGAGGTCGGCGTGTCTGTAAGGGTTGCCAAAGCTCGAGACGACAATCAGAACAAGGCCCGAGTAAGGCCAGAAAAGGACCATCCAAGATGAAGTCTATGTGCATTCGCAGCTGCTTTGGAGCCAGGAACACCGAGCATCTGACGCACCAGATTCCGGGTCATCAACGGCGATAGTTGACACTGGTGCACAGGCATACTGATGCCATGTAACCACGATTCAGTGAACGTGGGGAGAAATTGGTAGCCAATCACGGAACTTCAAGCGGAACTTCGAGACGAACACTCAGAAAGCCGGAGTTGGAAGTTGTGGCTTTTGCCCACCCGACATCGAAGATGCCGAAATGGACGATGAGGCACCGATAGGCTGTTTATGTCTGGAGCATTTTTGCCAACAGGTGATTGGGTCCTTGTCGCATGAAGGCTGAGTCAGGTTCCTGCCGGCATCACACTTTCAAAATGCGGCAACAACGAAGCAAGGTCCGCGTGAGATAAGATCGAGATGTGGGATGAATTAGAGAAGTAGATGGAAGCAGACATGTAATAACGATAATTGAATAACATGGAATAACACAGCGGTGATTTCGGGGAGTAAACGAGAAGCGACGGGATGTGTATGCGATGTATGTGCGCGCGTGCCTGTGTGCCTGTGTGTCGTCGTAAATGTCCGTCTCTACTAGATGGAAGAAGATCCAACCTAGAGGAAGCTCGGCATCACCACCAACGTTATCTAGTCGTCCTTTCACACCCAAGCTGAGGATCAACCTCCACGATCTCTTCTTCGATCCCGGACACGTGAGAATTCTCGCGTTTAGGCATTGAGATTGGCCTCCTAGCACATGTGGGTTGTCGTTCGAAAGCTGGGTTATCATCGTATGTTTTTGATTCCTCTACGTTGTATTCATTCTGTGCGATACAAGTAAGTCAGCGAATAAATAAGATGTGTGGGGCAAGGTGAAGGAAGGGTTGCGATAAAGATAGTAAAGCTGAGAGAGCTCGAACGAAACGTAAACTCACATCGAACTTTGAAACTCTTGACCACAGCGCAACTTCATGTTGGCCTTCACGATCAGACGCTTGCTGCACGTCACGCATGACGGAAATAAGAAAACTTATCCCCTACGTTTCGTTCCAAGGTAAGTCCAGCGGCGCTTGGAACGAATCATTCCCTAACATATACTCACGCCTCTTTGAGTCCTGGCATCATACAGAAGTGAACGGGAGTGAAGGCTATCATAAAGTACCAGCCTCAATGAATATGCGATACATTCATAATGATAGATTAAGTGGGTAACGCACTTTGAAAGAAATCCAATGATTGAGACTAGGGATACATCAGCTCGACAACAGCGTTACTAGGGAGGTGGTGGCTTACCAGCACCAACACTTGGCCCAATGAATGGGATGACCCTTGGAGAAGCGACCACAACGCCCTAAGAGTACGCGGCGTAAAACTCGCTGGTTCACGATAATCCAAACAACTCTGAACTTACCGCAGCTAGCACAATTGATACTGACCTAAGAAGTTCCATCATGAACGTCAAGCTCGAACGAATCACAGCACGGCCCACTTACGCAGTTGATAAACCTGTACAAGCAATGTACAGCATGATGTCTCTCAAAACGTTATCGCTTACGATTTCCAACAGTAGTGGCGAGAGAAAATAGAGATTCAGCTTCCTATGCTCAACATAACTCGAAGGAACGAGCAGTGACTCACCTCACGGCTCCGTTCTTTCGTCGATGGATACCCCAAGCAAGAGCACCAGCAACAACAATGTCACAGCAAGCATTCAGGGGACCGAATATACGACTGGGCCACAATCGTGCGGCGTAGAGTGGATTGGGGTTTTGATATGTACGCTGTAATCTGGCGAGATCCAGCGAATATTAGTATTTAGCGCATGATGAGGAGGACAGGCACGTATCTGGGGTTACTCACATCGATACGGAGACAACTACCAAGACAGAAATTTTATGCGCGATATTGGTGAGATACGCTCGAGAAAGTTGAGTGGGTAGTTAAATGGAACGTACAAAGCCCCCAACCAGCTTCGAATGACACCAGGAGTGCCTATTCCTCAGGAGCTCAGTCCGATGAAGGGTAGTGGAAGACGACCATCCCCGACATACCAAAGCGAGCAGCAAGAACATGTTTCGCAGTACTGCAGTATCGGGACGGTTCAAAGTTAAAGGGCCATGCCAGATTGTGAGAATGTGAGAAGGAATTAAGAAAAGAATTGGCCACTGACGACGGAAGGTGGTATAGACGAAGAGTGATTGCGACACAATACCTGCTAGCAGCTTGGGTGAAAAGGTGTAAATCAAACATGTAACAGTGAGATTCCAGAAGGGCTGCGCATACGTTCGTAAATTGCGGTAATATTTGAGCCCTATGCTCAATTCGAAGTTAATAGGCGCCCAGACGATATTTGGAGAGGCATGGGGGAGAGAATGCACGTCACTTGCGCGCCATGAAACAACAGTCAGCGTTCTTACCAGATCAATTTTCTACCAGCTGCCGAACCGAGAGACATTGCGAAAGCATAAATATCGATTGCCGTTAACAAGCTGTTTACCCGGGGCGAGGGAGGAGGCCAGGGCGGAGATGGAGACAGGTCAGATTCGAATTGACAGGCATCCACCACGGAAGGCTCACATTTGAAGTGGTAGCAAAATCCTTAAATACATGTGCAGGATGGGGATGAGCACACTCGAGGTCCTTGACCGGGTACAAGACAGAAACTTGCCATAAGGAAGCAACCTGCGCACGGTTTGTCAGAAGTGAGCACCAAATCCATACTTTTCTCGCTCAAATGGCAGCGACGACACTGGGCGCCTAGGAATCGATCCTCCTAACTCACCGTGATCTTCAAGAAAACATGATCGGTTGGAAAACGTTTGTAGTAGAAAAAGGTTTGGACCGTGATAATGCCAAAGAGCCTATTGTGTGTAGATTTTGGATTAGTAATTCTGAAAAGTAACGTAGCTTCTAACCGCACAAAGCCAGCTGTACTAGCAGCCAGAAGGATGAAGTGCGACTTACGTTGCTGAAAGTGCGGAGCCTAATACAGAGAATGCAATCCATGTCTGGAGAATACTTAGGACCTCTGGCGATGGTGGGTGTGTGCTATCCATGCGTATCGAGCCTGAGCTTCTTGGCTTGGGAAGTAGGCCCAAGTCTCCTGTGAGAGACGAGGTTCGGGGAGGACCCAAAGCTTGATCAGGTCCATTATATAACGTTGCATCCAAGGAAACTCGTAGCTCTCACGTCGGAGCTACAGGAGTTGTCCGCAGCTGGAGAGCGCTGTCCACCCTACATTGGATCGTATATTAGTAATTCATCGCATCAGGGCAATCAAAAACGCTTGTTTCCTTTTTAGATCATTATCTCTCATACAGCATATCACTTTTCCCTGCCGTCTTCGTCGCCACACATATAATAAAAAGTAAGCTACGTAGTCTCTGTCTGTAACCAAATCTCTGGGCCATCGGTGCCGAGGGAGCATCGAATAATTCCCCAAAAATCGCCGCTCAGCATGTGGAGTTGCGCACAGCTCCTGATCGCGCACCAATGATTGCCCTCGGTCCGTATGATATCCGTCCGTGTTTGGGCTCTTGGAGAGGGCGTGAGAAGCCCGCGGATCCATGTAGCCCCGGATGATTCTCCTGTTCATCAACGCATCAGACATGCCCGCTTGAATATGTGTGTTCACCATATCCCCGGACACCACTAGTGGCATATTCCCTAAGCCATAAGTAGCGTCAAGTGAAAAGGCATAACATGGCACGTGTTCACGCAGAGTTAGAGCCATACTAGTACTGGACCCTGGTTTTGATTCGAATTCTGTTGTTTGAACAATTGGAGCCCAGACGTGCCTATTCGAGTGTAAGAACGGATTTGTTGCAGTCCCAGCGGCCGTACTTGTGGGATGATGTATCTCGTGATCCCAGTTTCCCATCCATCAAAGTCTCACTAGTGTCATTCGTGTGCCTTTCAGCTCCCTTGATCTCGCAATAAACTATGCCCCGGAAGTTGGACCGAGCTCAATGCGCACGCCATAATTTACTTCATTGTTCCCGGGCTGTACTTGGACTATATTTAGAATGGAGAATTCAGGGTTTGACAGGCCAATCTTTTCGCCTCTCTTTTCCCGTTGGCACGGCAGGGACGGCTGATAGGTAACAGTTTACCATGCTCCTCAGGTCAACCTCGAAGTATCTATATACTTGAGAGAATCGTTCACGTATTCGTCGTAGGAAAGCTGTCCTATGGGTTAGGTATTGACAACAAATTTAGGCATTTCATTCGCTTGCAGATGTGCAATGAGCAGAAGGACCTAAAAGTCCGTGGTGCAACTGACTCCAGTTCAAAATTGCTGTGCACTGCCTCCAAGGTTCTGGCGTTCACGCTCGGCGACTCCGACCAGCCCAGCTCGACGGAACCGCGACCCGGCGCCCATTACCTAATATGGTATCAATATGTGTAGCGCTGTGGTCACGTGGATGCGCCGCTCGGCATCGCAGATGGGGACTCACCTAAAAGTCAGGCTTGTTCAGGGTTTGTGAAGTCAGGGGTGTGTCGGGTGTGAGACGACCTTCAAACATTGGACGGTCACCATAAGTCTTTGATTCCTCCACATCATACTCATGCTGTTCGCACACCTAGTCAGTACGAGATCGTGGACCCGGGGCAATCAAGGGACCAGCCAATTCTAATACTCACATAGTGTCTCGTCATTCGATTCTGTAGTTCGTTTTCCCGCTGTCCGTCATAATTCGACTCTTGATCCATGTCTCGTGTGATAGTGATAAGCATAGTGCTCAAACCCTAATGCGAATTATGGAAATGAGAATTCGGTCAATGTAGGAAGGAAAGTTTGACAACTTGCCCCTCCTAACCCCTTTGGTCTATCAGGACGAGAACTGTATAATGGGGAACGAGAATGAAGGCTTCAATAGTTATAGATATTGTCCCGGCCAATGAGCCGAAAAAATGAACATACTTGGCTAGAAAACCGATTGTTGACACTAGAAATCATCCATATCAGTTGTCAATAACCAACGGCTCTGACGCTAATCAATATACCTGATCCAACACACTGCCCAAATAGGGGAAAAACTGGCGTCAAGTGAAGGAAGCCTCCCTATTGATCCAGCATTACATTCCAAAGTGATCTAGTGATAGAAGACCATACATACCACAGCCAATAAGCCAGAAATTGCCCTAAAAGCGTGACGATCGTAGATATTTCACAGCAGCAAGACGGACACTCACCCCGATATGAGCCCAGTTCCGACAACATAAAGGATAATAACCTTAAGGATACTGTCCCTGGGTGGGGGAAGCAATAGTTTTTATCGTACCGTCGTTACCAATTGACTCGAGAAATACCTTTGGGAGCCATTCCGACGTCGGTTCACGCTCCAAGCGAGCGCGCCAGCTGTAACAAGGTCACAAATTGACGCCAAACATGGCAAACACACGAGTGTACCCATGCATTTGCTAAGCCCAGGGGGTTCGCGGATCCCAAAGACCATCGAAAACTTTGAATTTGATCAAAGAAAGCGGACCCAAAAGACCGACCGCACACATACAATTTCACCGCTAACACTGAGTGAATAATTGGACACGACTTCAGTCAATCCCATCATTATATGATACCAAGCAATAAAACAGGGACGCACTCAATCCAAAAGCAGTCTCGTTCAATATTAAGAAAAGCTGAATAGCGGTTAGACAGCTTCGGTAAAAAGTATGATACGAGAACGCCCCCACCTGAAAAAGTGCTAAGGAAATGTTTGATATAACTATGGAGAAGTCATTAGAATCAAACCCTCCCAACTATGATGACGCAGCATATTAGGACTTACGACGATATGTGGTATAAACGAAGAATCCTTGCGATATGACGGAGGAAATGAGCTAAGAAAAAGACCCACAAGGTGTGGCGACGAGACTCATCAGAGCAAGGCGAGCGCGTGTCTAGGAAGTCATACCAACATTGAGAAGTTGTGGAAAGGTGAAGGCCCTAATTGAAACATGTGGTTTAGTGCAAATACTGTGCAGCAATGTTCAGCCGCGGGACCAAAATTTACCATGTCAAACGCTCCATAAACGTAGAAAATGGGTACATTCTGCTCGCGTAGAATGTAGTTGCACATATGACTCTTGAATGTAAGATCGGCGGCAATCAG